CATATATGGTATAGCGATCAATAGATGAAATACGGCCTGAAAAATCTAAGATCCCACATTGAGAATATAGAAATTGGAGGAAACGTTGAAGGCTTTGAAACGAAAAAAGTCTTACGTTATGCTTATCTCGCAAAAAAAAAACACTTTTTTTTGTCTGTTAAAATTATTCACTACAAAATATTCCGGTGAAAAAGAGTATAGTGCTCTCAAAATTAACTCTGTACAGCTGATATTTTTTAATTCGGTATTGTGCGTGGGACTAAGAGATTTCCATTTCTTTTTCTGCACGAAACAGGATGAATTTTTCATTAGCCCAGACATTCTGACGGGAACACTACATATTACCTGCTTTGCAATTTCAGTACGGCATGAAATTGTGTTGGCATTTACTTTTAATTAAAAGCTTCGTCTCTATTTAGCTGTATTTGTTAAGCAATTCCTTCCGGTAATGGAACCTGATAATCATTACATGTATATACAGAAAAACCAATTAACTGACATTAAATTATAAAAAACTTGTGTTTTCCCCCCAGTATTACAATCAAAATCTCTTTGATCAAGATAATGAAGAATATTAAATTATTTCTATTAAACTGTGATTCTGCTTTTCTTTCTTTGTCACAAAATTAAATATAAATTAACTACAATTTATTTAGATTAGAAATTCAATTAATTGTGTTGCATTAAGTATCAAAATCTTTAATTTATTTTGTTAGCTTTGTGGACAAAATTATCTCGAGATTGATATTGGAACTGATAGTAAAATATAATTATATCTACCGAATTAATAGACAAAATATTTTTCCGATTCTAATAAAATATATTAAATTTGGATTCAACTTCTCTTCAACGATGCCTTGATGGAAGATAATCGCTTGCCAAAAGTTTTCAGTTTACAACAAACTTTGATGATAAAGTTTTAAACTATTGTTAAATCAAATAAAGTTAACCAAAAACACAGTACCGTTATTTACATTCTCGAAGCTTTGTTCGCCAAATTATTTAATTTTCATTACTAAATAACTGCTTCATTTTGCTCTGTCCTTTTCATTCTCTGTTTTGTGGTCGAAAGAACACATCCAGATGTAAAGTTTCAGGTCGCGACATATAGACATCCTTCCACATACCCGGTCATGCAATGACCTCATCACCATATCATCGTGTCTCCAGCTCACGAAATTGCTCCGCGAAATGTGGGAACAGCTTTGCCGGATTCCCCAAATATTTGCAGGCACAAACCAGATCGCTTAACTTAAGACGGAGCGACGGAAGTTGGGGGTAACAGTTGCAGCAGCTAGCAACTACAGTATCTCATTCTGGCAGTGTGGCCTAGTTGGAGGAGCGAATAAGATGATAAAGTCGATTGACTGCGAGGTGAGTTTTCCATTTCGGCAGATATTGTTTCTCGTTTGCGATACATATGCCAGCCATTCATAGAATGCACGCGAAATTGACTTTGCTCCACCCGGAAATGATTAGTTTTCGATCGAACGTAGCGCGTAGCATTTCGGATGAAAATATTTAGTCACCGAAAATAACTGACCACAGCCCGGACAGCGGTCTAGGTAGGTTCAGCCTGTATCCAATCTGGATCGGCTTAGGGACAAACTTTTCAACAGGGCCTGGAGAACAGTTTGGAGACCCCTCATCTCAAGCCGAAGAGACAGCCTGATACATAGTAATCCCGGTGATATTTAACTGGTCAAAATCGATATAAATGATCCACAGAGAAAAAACGATTTTATCCACTGTTTATAACAAGAAAAAATACGGATTCTCGCTATCATTAATCACTGTCGACATTATAATCCGCGACACACAGTTTTTTTAACTGTACGTACTTATTATCGAGTGGCACGAACTAATGGAAATATAATAGCTATAAAATGATAGCTGTACAAATAAAAGTATAATATCAATAAAACAACAAGCTTTATTATTTTTGATAGAATCTCAATATCGATAAAATAACATAGAGTCTGCACGCGCGTGAGCGATATAGGTGTGTCATCACGTATTGTATATATAGTTATAAAAAATAAACTTTTAAATGCCTCATATATAGAGGTATCTAACAAAAAAGTTATATATTGACGAATTTCTTTCCTTTCTCCCCTCCGCGAGAACTTTCGTATTTTATTCCGTCGCGTTTCCCGCGTTCGCTCCGAGGGGCTGTGAAAACAACCCTTAAATCCGCAAAGGAATATATATATATAAAAAAAAAATGCGGATATTTGACTTGAAGCCGCACTATTTTCAGTTTGTGAAAACGAGCGGAGAGCCAAAGTGTTCTCTCCTTGTTAGTCGTGACGACGTAAGTCGCCACGCTATAAACATTTCCTGGCATGTCGGGGATATGTACGATTGACGCTAAAAATACTCGACAACCAGAGGCTCTTCCAATATTTCCTCGTCATGGATAATTGCCGGCTCATTATATAAAATGCCGCCCCATATTTTCCGATATTCGTAACGAAAATATGGCGTGTTTCCTCCCTTCCCCTCGCCGTTTTCACCGTTTATCATCGTCTGCACGAGAGTCTGCGACGAGACGACGACGGGGACGAGAGAGAGATGCGCTTTATTTAAAGATTTTATTAATCGATACACAAAGTGCCTTTAAACACAGAAATTAACTCCCCGGTGACATCTAGGCGATTTGAGATTCGTCGATCATGTTACTCGCGTATGAAAACAGGAGCGCGTTATCCCGTTGCTGAAATGATAATGGAAATGTTATTTTTCAATCAACGTGCTCAGATAAAATACGCAAATGTCTCGCGTATTAAATAGTTACCCGTGTATTGCTTAATTGTACGTTTTACAGCGGAATAATTCCACCCTTACGGATCGCGTGCCACTGTTTAACAAGTCAGATTCATCACAGATTCATTCTCATCTAATTGTTGAAATTGTTTATTTACGACAATTCTCATTATAATCTAGATTTAATACGGTTGGGAGAATTGCACCGTGAAACTTGAGCATTTTTCGCGTCAGTGTTTAGTTAAAATCCGTAAATAAATTTACATCGGACGATGTGCGAGAGCTACGAAATTTTTCACATATGACCTTTTTTGCGTTTCAAAATATTTTACAGACTTGAAATCATGTTTGCGTACATTCTACGAACGCGAGTTTTAAAAATGTAATTTTATTAAATATTCCGCTCGCAAAATGTACGCGTTAAAACAGTTGTTTATTGAAAGTGATTAAACATTCTCGATATCATTTTACTCGTCGAGAGATTTTTAATATCGATAGTTAAACAAAAAAGCACGCGTTATACGCGAGCAACTGAAAATAAAGTTGCCAACTTAATCATCAAATCGCGCGCTCGTGGAAGACGCGTCGCAAAATTTATGTTCTTGAATATTCTCGCGAAAATCTATATATCGTCGCTTTAGTAATAGAGTTACAAATAAGTGCGGGAGCACATTTCCCCGCCATCGCTGGCGGGGCACTTTCATTTTGTATTCCGTGCAGGGGACGATAATGGTGGATCAACGCGGCTTCCTAAACGTATCTTAATAAAGGATACAATCGAAACTCGGAGATCGACCTTGAACGAACGTTATATTCAATATCACCAAGTACGAAAAGAAAAAGAGAAAGTTCCCTTTATCCGGATCTATATTATGCACTGGCGCGATTTTTCTCGCACGTTTTACTTACTTTATCGTCGATTTTACACGGTATTAAATGGACCGTTTATAAATTGAAGCTAAATATTGTTAGGCCACGCTACCCTCATTAATGACAAAAGTTCGGTGAGATTTACGTCCCTTCTCAAGTCGTGAGTTTCTTTCGCAAATCTTAGCAAAGATGCCACGTGCGATTTTGGCTCCGGGTGTATCTCGGACTTTATCTACTGAAACTTTTAGAAGTATAAAAGGACTTTTTTCCGGGCAAACGTTCGCGTGAACTTTCATCGTCGTTCTAGTACGAGTGCAATAGGAAATAAAAAAAAAAAAAAAATTCAGCAATCTCTTCGTGAACAAAGCGCAAATATGTACATTGCTATTGTCATCGTTATATCGCTTACGATCTCTTGGACAGGGAGATGGGAGGAAATATTTTCAGGACAGAATTTCCCCTCTTTCTGTTTTCGCGCCTCTTTTATTCTTTTTTTTTTATGTAAGCGTATGACGCTCCTTCCGGTAATCTCGGATAACAGACTAGCGAGATACGAACTCTAATTCGATGCCGCTCATCTCGTTTCATAAAGCATGCAGCCTTTTCGTGTGCCATGCAAGAATTTTATTTTTTTTCCCTCTCTCATTATACAGCGCGTTTTTAAGAGCGGCCCTCTTTTGTAAATGCATTTTGTTCCGCGCCAGCAGAATGCAGGCGTTTCACCCAGCGTCAGTGCACCCGGCGGTCGACAATTCAATTCGTATTTGAAACAAGAGCGCGGAGTTATCCTAGCCCGGCGCTAGGATAAACGGGCTGCGATTAAGAAATATCTCGTAAACTAGTGGGTGTCGCTGTGTGCATTCATGTACGAGATATTCCTTTGAATTTGCGCTTCGCGCAATTCTGCTGTAATTTGCGGAGAAATTAAATTACGTTTATATCAGAGTCGAAGGAGAATAAGGAAAGAAAACGGAGTTAAAGCGGAAGTAATTGCGAGAATTTTCTATGCGAATTAGTAATCTGCGCATTTAAATAATAGAAATTGAATTGTGAATTTTGTTCTTTTGAGATGACGAATTAAAAGATAAATTAAACTTAATTTAATTGAAAAGAAGAGAACAAAAGATACTCGAAAGATCCTTACGAATAGAGTAGTCTCGGTATAGTGTTGTGTCGCATAGTTTATATATTGATAATTAATTATTTAATTATATATCAATTATATAAATATATATAAGTAATTAATTATATATTATAAGAAATTGATTAAGAAATAATTTTTAGATTCTCCAAAGTAGACCGATGAAGACTGCTAGTATGTTTAACGAGTGGCCAGAGATTCTCCGTCGCGATTATTCGCAAACCTTCCCGATCATGTTCCCGATCATGTTTCTTGTTTTGGTATCCAAAACCACATCGCTTAGCTGCTTAATTAATAGGTCGGGAGATGGTCAAAGATGGTCGATATGCGAAGTGCGTGGGATATGCCCGCTCGCAGAAACGTCCCGCCATTTACCGTACTACGTACGGAGGAGGCCGCGCATATTCTACGGCGTGCGGCATATTATCCGCACATTCCATCGTTCCCTCGTTCCATCGTTCCTGGAAAATGTTAATTCTCCACGAATAAGCCCGAACGGGCATTTCTCATTCATGCAATTAAACAAATTGCTCTTTTAACGCCGCGCGTTTCGATTAAAAAATTAAACTTCTCCTCCCCGCGACTCTCGCATTCACCGGAGAAACAATGTATCAATCTTTGGATTAATTCCAAAGAGGATCGGCGACAAGAATATGGATCGAGAACATATTTTTGTCTGCTGCCAAAATTGCTCACCGCTATAATATAAAAAAATTCCACGTGCGAGTAACTTATATTTGTCATCTCGGGGGAATTCGACTTACATAAAAGGTATCACCTCATAAATATTCGCTGTTTGACCACGAGGAGGGAGAAGCAGCTTCAAGTAACACGCGATCAACGTGCGTGGTTAAGTATACTCACGAGACAATCGCCGACGATGGCATTTAAGCCGCGTCTTCTCCCGATACCATCGTACCCTCCGGCACGAGGACCAAACTAGAAGAGGTGGCACTGTCCCCTCGCCCGGGAATTCAAAGGCTCGTTCACCAGACAAAGCGAAGCCTCTCAAAAGTGATACACATGGTTCAAGTCATCGTCCCGCACCGGTCCGACAATAATAACAAGCGACTTAGTCTCGATCGGGCGAACAAAAAGGAAGAATCGGAGACCTCTCGATCGCAATTTCGTAATCTTACGATTCCTCTCGCGGATTGCAGGATTGCTCGAATACAGACGGCTCTTTCAATCCCGCGTAGCGCACATGTCCCGCGTTGCGTTCCCGCCGCGTGTCGTAGGCAACCCCCGGGCAATGTCGTTTTCGTCCCCCCTCGCTGACAACTCTCACCGGTCAACCCTCGGACGCGAGGGTCTCCCTCGTAGGCTGCACGCCGACGATAATGGAGAACGGCGACGATGACAGAACACGCGCGTATATTGGGACGTGTACCGAACGCTCCGGCGCTCGGTATCGAACTGACTGCGAAAGCTCTCTGCGAGCAGCAAGCAGCAGAGCTCTGGCCAGCTCACTCCTACTCTCGACGAGACGCGCGACGCCGGCGACGAAGAGATGAGAGCGGCGGCGGGCGAGAGCGCGAGTCCGTCCCGGGGAAGCCGAAAGCACCAGCGCGCGCGCCAGCAGCACCAGAGGGTAGGCCAGATCATCCCTGCCTACCTACTCCCTTGCGCCTAGAGAGAAAGTGGGGAGGAGAAGTGAGAGAGTGAGAGAGAGAGAGAGAGGAGAGAGGGGTTCCTCATCGCCACAGACTTTTCCCCTGGCCTCGTCGTCCTACATCCGAATTGTCCCTCTCCCTCTCCTCCATTTCGCGGATTGGAATTGAAAGAAACCGGACTGCGGTTTGATTGGCTACCATCGAAATGGAACACGCATCTCGTGCGGTCAACGTGCGTCTCGTCGAAACGAGATTGTCGTCAAGTGTGGACCCTTATACGACAGCGCTTTTAGTTCTTCAATTGTAGTCGAGTCCTTATGAAACCCACGAGACGAGCAAAAATTTTATATGATGTTGGTGTATACGGATTATTCGATACGATGGAGAAGATGTGAAATATATTCATGTACGTGCTTCTGAGCTATAAAATTAGACATTCACTTTTACGGTTTGCGCCCGTTTATCTCACGATTCTTGTATACGTTCTCATTCCAGTGATATAAACGCGCATTATATGGACCATCACGCGACCATACTACAAGCTTTGTATCTTTCTATAAATAGTTAAAGTCACGTTTTACTGTCTCGAGAATTTCTACTATCTTTCACATGTTTCTTTCTAATGTATAATACAATGCTAAAATAAAAAAGAAACTATAATAGAAAAATATATTATAAATCTTACTATATATATAATGTTGTACATTTATATCAATATATCTTTTTCCTTCTCCGCGTTAACGATTTTGTGCTATTTTTCGTAATTTTTATAAATTTGTTTTCTTTCATAATTTTCTTATAGAAATTTAATAAAAATTTTTAATACTTAATATA